CAGTATTTTCCGTCGAAATAATAAAAATCACCTCAGATTTCGAAAAAAAACTCAGGGGTGAAAGGGTTAAAGCAGTCAAAGAGCCAGCAACTGTTACGCAAGAATTAAAGCAGTTCTCAGGGTAAATTATGTTTAATAAATTGCTAATGAAGATCATCATTTTCTGTGAAAAATAGTTTTTTCTCTTAAAATAAAGATCTATTGATAAGGGATAAATTAAAAAGACGCAATATGCATATTTTGCATATACTATGAAAACCAAATTGCAGTTAAAAAAGTACTTACGTCAATATAACACTTCAGTTACAAAAAAGCATCATTTGTAGATAACAATTAATATGTCAAAGTTTAGCCGTTTGAGTTTGTATATAAACTATCGCAAATTATTTGTTTATACCGGGAGCCACGTAAACACAAATAACTTGGGGGAAATGCTAAGCTACAAAAGCGGTGCATTAATTCATGCTACTTCCGGAAATGTTTGACATAATAAAAATGTGAAATTAGTCAAAATCTTGCCAGAGGTGTAATTTTTAATTGCATTTGAAAAGTAAATACTAAAAGCATTTTTAAGCACATACGAAAAATATAATTTATGAAAAAATTGTCAAAATGTGTATGAATGCATTTAGAATTTTAAATCAAAGATAAGGGGCAAAAGTCGCATGACTTTTAAAAAAGTTTCTAAAAAGTGTAAATTTGACACTTTAGTCCAGAAGCGGGCATTTTTGATTGGACTTCAAAATGGTGCTGGCTGCGACGTCGTCACATGTATACTATCATCGTCTTCGTGCGTCTTACAATAATTGACGATTGACTGATGCTTCGCTGGTACTTCCGCAAAGCAAATAAAATCAGTTGCTGTTGACAGTGTTCGGATTAGGGACACAATATCGAACCGAAAGTATCGATATGGTACTCATTTGAAGTATCGCTTTAAAAATATCGGGTACCCATTAATATCGCAATAAAAAGACTCGATATTCCAAATATCGATACCAAAAGCCAAAAAGTTTATCTGAATATAGGTCTCGCATATAGGCCGCTGGGGGTGTAGTGGTTAGAAGTGCGCAAATCTTGAAAATGAAAAACAGCTTCCCATAAAATACAATCGCCGTTCAGAGTCGACATAAAACTGTAGGCACCCCCTTTGTGCCACAACACAAGGTCCACATTACAACACGTAGAGATTGAGGTGTTGACTTAAACACCGAGGCCGCGGGTTCAAATCCCACCACATGCAATCCTAACTATAGTACAAATTTCTGCACTTTAAAGCCCAATTTATATCGGGAAGAATTGTTACAAGCTGTAGCGTATTTAAAAATTTTATTTTTATATAAACTTAATTTTAATTTAACGTATTTTTTATTTCAAAGAAGAAAAAATTCTGAAGTAATCAAAAATTTTCTTTTTGATTTACATAAATTGAAAAAGAACTTAATTCAATAATTCCAAAACGAACAAAGTACAAAAATGAACAGAGTACAATAGTAAATAGTATTAACACTACAATACTCCCCCTTCCAGAGAGTTATTATTATACAAATTGAAAGTAACTTGTTTCTTTTTAGTCGTTGTTGAAACTATATGGTTGTTAGTGTTATGTGGTTCTGTTATTTCAACTATTGCTGGCTTTAGTCTGTCAATCGAAATAATTTTAATTTCATTATTCACATCTACCTTAAAATATTTTTTGTCTTTTTCAATAACTCTGTAAGGCCCTTCATAAGGATGTTGAAGAGAATGCTTGTTAACAATGCGAATAAAAACAAATTTGCAAGTTTGTAAATCTTTTGGAACATAAATTCCTGAATCGGAATTTTTGTGATGTTTTAAATTTGAATTAAAGTTTTTAAAACGTTCCCGTAAACTTCCTAAAATTTCGGCGGAAGTAACATTTTCTGTAGTTGGCACAACAAGTTCTCCAGGTAGACGCAAATTTTGGCCAAAAAGCATTTCAGCTGGAGTGGCTGCAATATCTTCTTTGTACACTGAACGCAAACCAAGAAGAATAATCGGTAGCTCATCGTACCAATCTCTAGTTCCATTCCTAGCCAAAATTGAAGTTTTCAATTGTCTATGGAATCGTTCCACAATACCATTACTTTGAGGATGATAGGAAGAAGTTGTGATATGATGACTACCAAGTAATTTAGTAAGTTCCGAAAATAATTTGGACGTAAATTGAGTACCCTGATCCGTCGTGATTTCTAAAGGCACACCGAAACGCGAAACATATTCATTAAAAAATTTATTTGCAACTGTCTGTGCAGAGATATCCTTTACAGCATATGCTTCCGGCCAACGAGTAAATCTATCCATAATTGTTAAAATGTAGCGGTAACCTCTTGAAACAGGAAGCGGTCCAACAATATCTAAATGTATATGTTCAAATCTGCTCTTCGGAATTGGAATTGTGCTCACAGGAGATTTTGTGTGACGATAAACTTTAGATTTCTGGCAACTTATACATCCTTTTGACCATATGTTTATCTCCTTGTTCATACAAGGCCAATAATACTTCTTCACAATTAATCGGCGTGTAGCCTTGGTACCAGGATGAGCAATTCCATGTAACATATCGAACACTGTCCTGCGCAAATTATTTGGAACGAAAGGTCTAGGACTTTCTCCTGACACTTCACACCAAATATTAAAATTTAGAATAGGAATTTTAATTAAATTAAGATTTTGAAACGTTTGTCCAGAAATAAGTTTATTAAGTTCACTGTCCTGTTGCTGTTCACTCTGTAAAATTTTGAAATTAAGTTCTGAATTTTTAATCACATCTATTTCAAACGCACGAGATAACGTGTCAGCTACAATGTTGGTCTGTCCTTTAATATACTGTATGTCACTAGTAAACTGTGCAATAAACTCAAGATGCCTTGTCTGTCTTGGACTACGCTCAGTTTTGGAATTTAGAACAAAAATCAAGGGTTTGTGGTCAGTAAAAACCGTAAACTGTCTTCCTTCTAATAAATACCGAAAATGTTTAATATTCAAATAAATTGCTAAAAGTTCCCTGTCAAAAGCACTATATTTCATTTCTGCTGGAGAGAGTTTCTTTGAAAAGAACGCAAGTGGTTCAGACTTATTATTGAAATGCTGCTGTATGACACCACCAATTGCTGTATTGGATGCATCTACCGTTAAAGACAATTTTGCATCTTTACTAAAATGATTTAGCAAAATCTTAGATGCAAACTTCTCTTTAATGCATTCAAAAGCTTTAATGGATTTGTCATCCCAAACCAAAATTTTGTCTCGCTTTTTACTTGTTTTATTAATTAAATCATATATAACTCCAGTAAACTCAGCTAATTTTGAAATATATCTATGGTAATAGTTAACCATACCAATAAACTTTTGCGCTTGTTTTATTGACTTCGGTCGTTCAAAATTGCGAATCGCTTCTACTCTGTTTACAGAAGGCTGTATCCCTGCCTCAGATAAACAATGTCCTAAAAAATCTATACTTGGAACACCAAAAATGCATTTGCTTGGTTTGACGTTCAAACCATACTCAGACAAACGTTCGAAAAGTACCCGTAGATCCTTTAAATGTTGTTCTTCACTCTCACTTGCAACCAGTAGATCATCAATATACGCGAAAACAAAATCTAATTTACCTACTACTTCGTTGATGAATCTCTGAAACGTTTGCGCTGAGTTCCTCAGCCCGAAAGGCATTCGGGTGAACTCAAACATACCGAAAGGAGTAGTAATCGCCGTTTTAAAAATGTCTTCTTCTGCCATTGGAATTTGGTGATACGCTCTAACTAAATCAAACTTTGAAAATATATTTTTATTCCTAAGGTTCATATTAAAATCGTGAATATGAGGCAAAGGATAACGATCCGGTACAGTCACATTATTAAGTCTTCTAAAATCACCACAAGGACGCCAGTCATTAACTTCTTTCTTTGGTACTAAATGAAGTGGAGATGCCACGGATGAATTTGATGGTCTACAAATCCATGTTTTTACCAAAAAATCGAATTCAGTTTTAGCTACTTTAAATGACTTGACGTTCAAACCATACTCAGACAAACGTTCGAAAAGTACCCGTAGATCCTTTAAATGTTGTTCTTCACTCTCACTTGCAACCAGTAGATCATCAATATACGCGAAAACAAAATCTAATTTACCTACTACTTCGTTGATGAATCTCTGAAACGTTTGCACTGAGTTCCTCAGCCCGAAAGGCATTCGGGTGAACTCAAACATACCGAAAGGAGTAGTAATCGCCGTTTTAAAAATGTCTTCTTCTGCCATTGGAATTTGGTGATACGCTCTAACTAAATCAAACTTTGAAAATATATTTTTATTCCTAAGGTTCATATTAAAATCGTGAATATGAGGCAAAGGATAACGATCCGGTACAGTCACATTATTAAGTCTTCTAAAATCACCACAAGGACGCCAGTCATTAACTTCTTTCTTTGGTACTAAATGAAGTGGAGATGCCACGGATGAATTTGATGGTCTACAAATCCCTGTTTTTACCAAAAAATCGAATTCAGTTTTAGCTACTTTAAATTACTTGACGTTCAAACCATACTCAGANTGTTTGTTTGTTTTGTCAAATATAAAAAGGCGACTTGTGGAAATGTCCAAACTCCCGTTGTTTGTCGCCGCAACAACGGACGACTTTAGTTTGTTGGACTATTATTTTTCGAAAATGCACATGGTTGTTCGCATTTTTTAGCCTTGTTTCCAAATTTATAATGATATCTACATAACCAATTCGGATTGTCGCGTGATTTTGATCAATATCTAAAAGGGCTCCTAAAACGATTCCTATTCACTGAACGTGACCTTGAATAATTTTGATTCATTTCCCTCCTCATTTCACATAATTCCAAAGAAAGTTTTTCAAAATTTTTAAAAATAAGAGAAGTAGTGTTAACCAAATTAGCCATGACTGCATTTTCACCTTTTGAATTTTTTTATCAGCCAGTTTCGTCAATTCACTAATACTGCTTGAATTAGAACTAGCTAAAATCACGCTTAGGTTCTTCGGTAACTTCCTCATCCAAAGTTTCTTAAGAATTTCATGACTAAAATTGGAACCCGAAAGCAGTACAAGTGACCGATAAAATTCTCTGGGCTTACGATCACCCATTTCAGTATCCGATAAAATTTTGTCTAATTTCGCATTCTCACTTAATGAATGCCTTTCAATTAAAATTTTCTTAAGTGCAGTAAATTTATTATTTTCGGGCGGATTTTGAATAAAGTCTAAAATCGTTATTATAACTTCTTGCGGAAGTGCAGTAATTGTATGTTCATACTTTGTTGTTTCTTGTGTAATATTTTTGGTACTAAACTGCATTTCCGCATGAATAAACNTTAATATTTTTAGTACTAAACTGCATTTCCGCATGAATAAACCACGCTTCCGGACAACTTGTCCAGAATTGTGGTAGTTTGACCGATGTAGCACAAATCTCATTACTATTTCGATCGACATACGGATTTGTTAACTGTTCATTAAACGTACTATTTTGTAAATCAATAAGAGTTTCATTTAAATTATCTCGTGTAGATGTATGTGTATCATGTTGTGGTGAACGAAACATTTTGATTATTTGAATTTGAGCAAATATCAAAAGACCTCAGAAAAGGGAAGTTTACAATTAAAAAATTAAATATTATATNAAAAAAAAAAATTAAATATTATATATGTAATATTTAATAAATAACAATTAAATTCTTTTAATTTTTAATAAAAATAGTATATATATATATATATTAAAAAAATATGAGAACAATACAGCTCACCAGTAAAACTAATATTGTTGTTGATATTAGCGATACTGCTGCGGTCGCTGCTGATACCGCTACTGCTGCGGGTGACTTCGATGCTCTAGCCTCGTTGCCTGTGTCCGCTTCTTCGTCTTCTTCCTACTGCAGCAGCAATGGCAGTGATGTTGGAGATGTTTTGTTTCGTTCTGTTAATGCGCTACTACCAGCTGGAACTTCTCCTACTACTCAAAGAGGAGCATTGAGCACCGCTCAAACTTTCCGGTTGCTGTTCTTGATCTTGAGAACGCTGCTGCTGCTGCTGGTTATGTGGTTGTTGTTGACTGGTTGATGCAATATC